GACCACTGTGGCTGAGGGGATAGTTGTTTTTCTCGCTTTCAGTTGCATGGTTTGTGCCCACCCAAGCAGCAAAGATAAACCAGGACCTTCCAAGAGGTGTCTATAAATCGCCTCTTAAAATTTGAGGGGCGTCCAAAAACCACCGGACTTGGAAGGTCCTGGAAGCACACCCTGGGCGTTTCTCTTTCCAAACTGGTGTGCTGCCATGGCCGATCAGAGATTCCACCTGCCAAGGGAGATCACCGCCGTCCTCGGCTTCACACGTACGTCGAGCGTCCGAACGAACGCAGTTCATCCGAAGAGTTCATCCGAAGAGGCGAAGATCTCGCAGACTCGTCGCGCTCGGTCTGCGTTCCATCGGTGTGTTTCACCAGCTACCAGATTCCTACTGCGTGACGAAAAAGGTGTGAGAAGTATCATCCAGATCTCGCACTCCGATTCCCATCCATGGTTGAATGATCCAGAATTCCTCCCTTGATTGTTGAAAGATTCAACACAACCATCTAATCTGTGATACCTAACATCGATCCTACCTGTGTCCCACCGGACTTCGGACCGCACCAGGATGCGGTCGGCTGGCACGTGGCGGTCTTGGCCGAAGACACCGAGGGCACCGAGGGCGGTGAGGATTACTTCAATGGCCTGGAACACCCAGAGGGACCCAGCCAGCAGCTGTGAACGTCCCATGTGTCACCATGTGTGTGTGTGTGTTGTCCTTTTTGTTCGGGATAAAAGGGCGAAAACTCCTTCAAGGTCCAAAAAGGTTGAAGGGCACGGTTGCTTGTTTGATGCTGCTGGTGCTTACGATCCATAGTTTACCTTTCAGAAGTTGAATGAACCGACGATTGCTGAAATCATTCCTCTCAAAAAAGCAACAGAAACCAGCGACACCGGTCGCGCACGTAGCTCCATGGCAGCCTCGCCACCGGGAGCTCCCCTTACGCGTTCTTTGCGCAAGTGCAAGGTGGCGGCTCTGTCGCCCACCACCGCCTCGGGCGCTTCACAAAGGCGCGAGCACCGGGATCGCCCCCCCCCAGGTCACATCGTGGCCTACAGCGCCGAGACGGACACCTACCTGGTGGCCTATGACTCCACGGGTGAACAGCCCTTCACCGCTTGGGAGCAGGCGCGAGTGGAGCGCGCGGCGCGTGGTGGAGACGGTTAGTGGGGTAGTAGTGGGGACCCGCACTTGAGGATGGTTTTGAGCAAGAAGTCTTCGAGGTGAATGGTTATGTCTACTTCTACAAGTAAAGTTACAATGTAATTGTGTTACATAGTTCATGGTTCCATCTTAGACAACTCTAAGTGAATGCTGATGAATACAGTATGTTGCATAGCATCTCTTCCATCTATAGAAGATGCTCCTTGAGGAGGATGCTCCGATGCTCCTTGGCCTCCCAGGACCTGGTTTTGGTATGTTTTTGGTATGTTTGGTATGGAACAGGGGAGAAGAGGCCTTGGCTGTCGTTCCTGCCTCCGAGCCGAGATTGGTTCGTCCGAGGGCTTTGTCGGGTGTCGCTGGACCTTTGATGAAAGGCTCACGAGGGAGAACTGAAACATGGGACCAAACGGTTCCCTAGGCTTCCAACCACCATCAACTTAATAGGCTCGGCTTAACCGAATCAACTAAGGATTTTACACAACGCCGACTCCAGGTTGTTCCCATTTCTTAAAAATGGTCGAACGGAAGTCCAGGGTTGGCAGGTGAAGTTGGCAGCTTGAAAGGTGTTCGGAGTCCAAGATATCCTTTCAGATCTGCGGAATATCATGAGTTAGTAGGGGGGAGCCTTTCATTAATGGTTTGTTATTGATATTTGATAAAAAAATCGGAAGTAAACGTTCGCGATGCTGGCCATGCAGCGCGAGGGAGACTGCACTATTGACATCATGGGTGTGTTCGTCCGTGTGTCCTGCTCGAAAGATACAAACAGACTGACAGACCGATACAAACATACCGAACCGACAACACAAGCTGCTTCCCACACCAACACCAGCAACCAACCCGCCTCGTGGGGTGCTACTGACACATTATCCATTGAATCTGTGCGGGCGGCTTCTACCACGAAGGGGTGTAAATACCTTTAACACCTTTCACCGACCTCTTTATGGTTTCATGGTTTCCCCACGAAACAAGAACAGGCAAACTGCGCTTGGTGTGTCGGAGACGCTGTGCTCGCGCCTCCGGGATTTACACCGATACCGCGTCCTCGGTGGTCAAGAGACACACCGTATGGGGCCGATGGCCGATGGCTTACATGATACCGATACCTATAGTATAGAAGGATCAGTTCTCCCAAGCTGGATCAGTCCGGCAAGTGGTCTTCTCAAATCGTACCTTGCACGTGTCGGCTCATGCCGCCCCCATTCTCCACATATGGTTTTCTCAATGACGATTTCTTCTGGTTCAGGAGCGCCGGAGGCGCACTGCAGCCATGAGTTGGGGAACCCAGGTAGAGCCGCGCCATTCTCCCAATGCAAAGTCCTTGACATCACCCCCATGCAGAGACGGAGTGACTCCGTCCATTCGCTTCTTTGGTTTGGATGATCCAGGCTGGGCAGATCTTGATGGAGATGTGTTCTCAATGTGGTCGATGTTAGACCGTCCCGTTTTTCGTGAGGGAAAATGAGGCGTCGACGGAAGGTCTCAAAGATTTCAGTTGTCTTCTGCTGCGATGCTCAGCCAAAGGGTGAAAGGAACGGACCGGTTTTGCTGGGAAAGCACTGGTCGTCTTTGCATGGGAGAAGAAACCAATCACCTGAACCTGCCAGCACAGTGCCAGCAGTGCTGCATGGGCATTGAGGTGTGGGCATCCTGGGATCAAACAACGTCGCAGACCAAAACACCAGGTGATACCGAACAGATACCTACCTAGCGCTTCCTGTCAGGGTGCCCAATGGAGACCTGTAAGTAGTGGGAGATATCCAGCCAGGTGACCCCGAAGCAGCCGGTATACAAGATAGCTGTTCAAGGATCACCTACACAGGATCCTCAGGAGCTACAAGGATCCTCAGGACCTACAAGGATCCTCCACACCTACCAGCATATTTCAAAGATCTGGAGCGCCTCCTGGTGGAAACGACCCATGTGTTGGCCGAAAGGTGTGGGGTCTCAGATCTCAGGATGTCACGGAGTCCGTTTGCCCCAAAGCTAGAATCCAGCTCCCACACCTGAACCCCCCACATAGAAATGACTATATTGACATTGGATGTCTCGTGTCACAGAAGTCATTTTCCTATCCCCCAAAACTACGCACCCCCATCCCCTCTCTCTCTCTCTCTCTCTCTCTCCTAAGACCGGCGCTCCCTCCGAACGCGACCCGCATCGACCGAGGACATAACCCATCCCTGGCGGGCAAGAGTCGGTTCGCCTTCTTGTCACCTCCGGTTCGGGAGACAGGCCCGGTGAACGGCCGAGAGAAGACCGTTTTGGGGTGGATGGAGGTGGAAGGAGGGTGGGTGTGAAAGAGCTGGTTGATTGGGGAGGTTGGAGCTGGTTTCCAAGGTGTTCGTTCTTCTGGGAGGATGGCTTCTCTTGCTTTTAAGGTTGGAAATGCTTTGAACATCCCGGTAAATAACGAGAAGTTTGGGTGTTCTAATCCATCGCCGTGAATGGTTCTCCCAATTGACCACCATGTCTGGGCAGTGCTTTCCATCACCAGACATGTGATTTGTGCAGTCTTTGTGATACCATCCGTGTTTGTGTGGAAAAGGGGGAGAGCAGACCCAAATTCTTCGGACTTCCTCGTGCTGTCGGGAGTCTAACGGGAGTCGACTCTCAGGATGTGATCCCAACTCACGCCATGCTGAGTTACTTTCGTCTGAAAAGACAAACAATCCTGACTATATCGGGAGCACAGACCTCCGAACCGCCGATCACCGAGCTTCGGTCGACCTGTTGGAAGTACCCGGTCGATCAGGACCCTTTTTGGAGCCGGGGTTCACCGGGTCGGACGGAGGCAAGCTCGGAGGGTTCGGAGCCAGCTGGAAACCAAGTTAACCATAACACCATAACAAACAGATACCAGCAGTCACAAGACGGGGTGCTATCCATGGAGGTTAGGGGTGCCCATTCTCCACTCACTTAGGGACCAAAAACCACCCCTTTGTGACTCCTGGTATGGGCTTCCAGCATCTTCCAGCTGTTTGTTTCGTAGGGACTGACAACAACCTGACGTCAGTCCCTTACACCTACACTGGCTTTCCCCCGACAGGGTGTCCCCTGATGTTGGTGGCGCCCCGTTCGACCGATGTCCGACACCCCAGAAGCCACAGTTCTTTGTTCGTACCTGGTGCGTCTCGGGAATGAGGGTGGCTGGATCCAGTCAGGAATCTCTAGACAGGGCGAAACGCCACCCTCATTCCCTACTAAGTACCAGTCAACTCGATGAGTCATACAGAGTCGTCGAAAGCTCATCACAGAAGACGGTGGGCCCATTTTGGAAAGACGGCTGCCGTGTTGGAATCACCAGGCCTAAGAGGCTCAAGCCATGGTGTAGAAAACACGAAGAGACCACGAAGATGGCAAAACATGCTCTCACTTCCGCAAAAACACGGCCATGAAATGAATTCTCCCCTGTGAGGTTTCCCATGATGAAGCCCCCCTCTAGACTCTAGACTCTAGGCCTTGTTGATATGCTTTCACTTCATGAATTTGGAGCCTTCTCCATTCACTACTTTGGCAGATCGACATGCTTGTGAAGTCCCTGTCACCCTTAGCATCCCTTAGCGATCACAGCATTCCATCACTACAGATCATGGCCATGGTCGTTTCCACGCGCTCGGCGTGTTCAAGTCCGGGCGATCTCGTTTCAGAAGACCGAGCTGCAATAGAGTACGTAAGTGCAACGCAACTTGCCAGTGGACTATCCTGTTCAAGTCTGCCCGGAATCCTGCCAGCTGTTGGTCTCTGAATCCTTGGACGTCCATCTAATTAGATGCCCTTAGCACTTGCATTTTAGGGTGTTTAGCCACCTGCAAAACTGCCTTCAGTCCCTCAGTCACGCGTGAGTTACGCCAGTTCCGAGGGACGCTCCCAGGCCCCTCGACCCGCCACGCCATGGCGGCACCGGTGACCACGGTGGTTGGTGTGGGCAGACATGGCTCGCTGGCTGGGCCTGCGGTCAGTGTGACCTTGTCAGAGATGTGCGGGGGGAGATCAAGCAAGTTAAAGGACATAACAAAGAGAAGGCCCTCCCAGGGGGTTATCATGATTGATCTGGTTTTGCCAAGCTTGAAAGACCTGTCGATACACATGTCATCACATGTTTGTTGCCGGGACTGTCTATTCTTTGGCCCATCCACCTGGCCAGTTTGGCGAAGGTGACGTTTTTCACAGGATTGGTCTGGTAGAACCTGATAAGGACAAGTTGGATTGCTGATGTTTGTTTTCGCATGTTTCGCGATGTTTGCGCTTTTCGGTATCAATACTGCAACACACTGATTTGTTGTTTGCAAGTCTGTTTGGCCATCATTTTTGCCTCTCATAAGACCCACACACTGTTTGAGCTCAATTGGACCGTTTTGGACCCGGACCCGGATATACTCTTCATGTTGATCGGTGTCTGAGTGTCTTTGGGGGTGTGCCCCACAGCAAGAACAAGGAGCTGTTCCAGCGGTGTTTTCGTTGAAAAGACGAACTCCTTCATCGAAGCCCACTGGTTCCTTGGTGCCTCCCCGAGTCCCCGAGGCTCGTGCTTTTGGCCCTGGCGTCGTTGGCCCTGTTGATCCTCAACGGCGTCATCAGCCAGGAGAGCCTCAGCAAAGTGGTGCTCGGCGACAGAGCTGGATCGAAGGTGAAGACAGAGCTCTTCTCGTGGCTGGGTGAAGAAGGATAGAGGGTGTCGCACGTACTATCCTGATTCATATATGCGTTTAATTCCCCTCGCAGATGCGTTGTCTTGTTTTGCCGCATCTGCTGTGGCAAGGCGAGTTTCTCGGCCACATCAAGCCCAAATCATGTCAGGGAGACCAAACCACCGTGTGGCAGTCGCTCCAAAATGGCCATGACCTCCAGTTGACCCATGGACCTCTCAAAAGAGAGAGGCAACCCGAGCAAGTTCGATGAAGGCCGCCGCAAGTCATGGCAGCCATCGAAGCCGAAGCCCAACGCCCAAACCGGGTTCATCCGAAGCTCAGCTCACCTGGCGCACCGTGAACCCCACCAACACCACACCCACCTGCACCCACCACATCCGTCGCCCAAACTGCGCACGAGAAACCACCCAAATCGCACCGAACGAACCTGTTTCGACCGGGGCGTCCAGTCCTCGACGTCGCGTTGGGAGGAGGAGTTGCGACCATGATCGAACACGATGAACGACCGAACTCTGCATTGAAAGGAATTGGTCGCTAGCCTTATCTTTCTCCCTTGACCCCTTTCGTTTTGCTCTGAGCAAGGGTGTTGCTTTTCGAAAGGTATTTGTGCATGTGTGTGTGTGTGTATGTGAGTTGCTGTGTTGGTGTGTTGGTTGGTCGGTTGGTCCCTTGGTGCATTGGTGCGTTAGTTCGTTTGTTTTGTTTTGTTTTGTGTTGTGTTGTTTTGTGTTGTTTTGGGTTGGGTTGGGTTGGGTTGGGTTGGGTTGGGTTGGGTTGGTTGGTTGGTTGGTTGGTTGGTTCTTTGGTTGGTTGGTTCTTTGGTGGGTTGGTTGATTGGTTCTTTGGTTCATTTGTTTGTTTGTTTCGTTGGCCCGATGAATGTTACAACAATATGTTGTGTCACCTCAAAAGTGACAGCTTATGCCACAACAGCCACTTTGTGTTGGAGAAGATGCTGCGTTTTCTCTTCTCCACCACAACTGCCTGCCCCCACCTCTCGAGGTCTCGACTCTACTCGTATTGAGCCTTAAGAGGTTGCCCACCTGCTCGGGTCGCCCCACTGAGCCCCGGACGGCGAACCGGCGCCGGACTTCAGGCGGCTCAGCGGGGGCGGCTCCGCGCGGAGCGTCCGCGCGGACGGCCACGCTGAAACCTCGCGCTCAACGACGCCCGCGGGGGCGGTGTTCGCGACGGCAGCCTGGCTGCCAGGCTGGAAGACGTGGACTCCAGTCCGAGCAGTGAAGGCAAGGCATTTGGTTGGGTTTTTCATGGTTTTTCAATCGATTCGTTGGTGCGATGGGTATGGAGAATTGGTCTCTACATGCACCTTCTCCTGGAGACCTTCTTTTGAACACCGCCTTCCAAATCGCTGTTCTGTCGGTCCGAGAGCGCGTTCGGGCGGCCGCGTTCGCGTTCGGTCACCCGGGTCACGGCTTTCTGGATCGGAAACGATGGATCTGAATGATTTGCTCATCCCAAACAAAAAGAATCAAGAACCCTCAGTTCGGTGAAGGTTTGGTTCCAAACCCCCGTTCTGTAGGGTCAGGTCACCCTCCAGTTCGTGAGGGTACCAATGAGTCTATCCGGGATCCTTGAATCCTTGAACCATTGTTCTCGTCCGCGACCGGAGTACCGGCTTCTACACCGGAGTAGTCAGGTGATCAGATGAGGGCGAGGTCCGAAGGTGCAGGGCCAGCAAGGTTGCTCCTAGTGGTGGATGGTGTTTGCGCTGAAGAGCTGAAAGTAAGTGAGACATTCTGGGTCATTGAGAGCTTGGAGGCCATTCCAAAAAATTGAAATGGAAAAGAGAATTGAAAGACCTTATCCAAGACCCTATAAGACTGAAATCATCTGAAACGTATCATTGTGTTATTTGTCCCACCTTCCCGGCAAAGCTGAGGTCACCACCACACTGCAGACTCTGTCGGTAGCTGAGCTAGCGACGCCGGGGATGCCAGCGCCAGTGGAGGAGGCTGGGAGTGCGCCAGAGCCAAACCAGGACAGTGATCCTCTAGAGCCAAACTAAAGCAGTGACCCTCTACAATGATAGTTTAGTGGTACCAGCCAGGCGCTGTGTTTGGTGCCATGTTTCACGTTGGCCATGTGTTGGCAACGGCTGTGTGTGTTGGAGAAGCTGAAACGGCCAAGGAATCGGCTCCACCAAGCTTTCAGTTGGCACGTCCTTGGACTGCACTGAGTATCAAAAGTGGGAGTGCGGATCTACGGTGAGTCTGGGTGTTTGAACAGGTGCCTCAGGTGCCGTTGTTTTGTTTCCAAATGTGGCCAAATTGTGTAGGGAAATTGAAGTCATGTTTGGTAGTCGCTGTAGAAGCCTTAGCTTCGGTTCAGGAAAAAGGCATACATAGCATAGAGTCGCGATATTCCCCAAAGACACGCAAATTGGGCGTGGCTCAATCCCCACAAAGGTCGGGGCGCCCGTGTCCACCCTCAAGAAGCGACATCGAACCATCTCCATGTCCGCTGAACTGCGTTTCATTGGAATCAAACGAATGGCCCGGGCCCGGGAGCATTGAAAAACATACATACAAGATCCCCACCCCCTTAACCATTGTTTTGAGGGGGGGGGCCTGAAAAATGTAACTTCCAATTCCCCCCCCCTCCCCCCCCCCTGAAAAATGTAACTTACCCCCCCCAGGCCCAGCATTGAGGTACATGAATCTAAAAATGTAACAACATGCCTGCGAGGGATGTAGTTACATCATCTGGACCCTCCCTTCTTTGGGGGGGGGGGAGAGGGGCGGGGGGGGGAGGGGTGTGAAAAATGTAACTTGGAGTGTGCGAGGTTGAAAGTTACATTTAATAAGCCCCCCCCCATTGGGGGAGAATGCATTGTGCAGAGTCTTGTGATGTCATTTGCCTGCGATAGTAGCAGGAATGGATCAAGAGAGAGGTCGTATGATGTTGTATGAAGTAAGAGCTAGTCAAAGACAATCAAAGCGAGAAAATCAGTGCAGTCAGAACACAGGGTGAAAAGGCATGTGTACATGTAACATCATGTTACATATGCCAGCTGCGCAAGCACATTCCAGGTGATACTGCATGCTTCCAAGGCCTGGACACACCTAAGTTACAATTGCTTATGGGTCCACAGCACATCACAACAAAACACAACAAGTCCACCAAAGCACTCCAGTTGAAAAGGTATGTTTAAATGTAACATGTGACAGCTGCACATAGCACAGATTAGGTGAAAATGCATGTTTCCAAGACGTCCACATGTCTAAGTTACATTTCTTTCTTGCATTCTGGTCCAACACTGCTGACACTGTGGCACAGCAGGTCTAGAATTAAACGCACTCCTCCCACAACATCAAAACAGAAGAACTCCAACCAAAGCACACCCAGTGATAAAGGCATTTAAATGTAACATATGCCAGGTGCACACAGCACAGTCTGGGTGATAATGCAAGTTTCCCAGGCCTGCGCACACCAAAGTTACATTTCTTTCTGGCATTCTGCAGAGGAACCAGCTGATGAGAAGAGTTTTGCGTAGTCGAAGAGCGCAGTCGAAGAAGAAAAGAGCCCATACTCTTCAAGCAGCCTCACTGAGTCTTGCGTAGTGTTACCTTGAACCATCCTAGACCTGAAAAAATGTAACTTACATTTTTTACATATTTAGTTACATTTTCCCTGGAATAATGTAACTTGCATAAGTTACATTTTTCATTAAAAGCCTAACAAATGTAAGTTACATTTTTCCAGGTATATGTAAAGGGCTAAATGTAAGTTACATTTTTTCAGGTCCCCCCCCTGCTAAGGGGTAGGGATCATACAAGTATATTGGGCACATGTAATGGCAATGTATAGTAAAGAACATGTAGTGCTGAGACTTTCTTTGGAGAGGGCTGCGGTTCTGAGCATTTGCAACAAGCAATCCCCGCAATGAACCTAATCCAAAGATAAAGTATATAGAGATATGAAAATCTAAGGAAAAGCATACCTATGATACCTGTGGTGGACTCATGTACAGCACTCTTACAGGTAAACACGTCACACCACTCCGCCGATCATTCCACTCCCCAGCGGCACGCCGCGTTTCGGCCACTATGTGTCCCATTCCCGAATGGCACAGACTCACGCAAATGCTTTACACCAAAGCCGCGCCAAACCGCATGGCACAGCGACATGACAGACGTAATTTGGCCACACGGTGTGCCACAGACTGGATACAACCATGTCCAGGACGCCCGCTCCGAAAGTAGAAGTAGGAGTAGTCAGTAGTCACTCTCCGACTCTGTGCGTTTGAGAGTACTCTTTTCCTTGACCGGTCCTTCAAATCTGGTCCCCTGACTTCTTGCTCTCCTCATCATGACTTGTGCTTCAACATGCGTTGGTAAGAAGAAGGCGGAGCCTCTGGTTGGACTGTTTTCGATGCGCCTCCTTCCAGGAAGCCTTTGTTGTGCACAGGCCTGTCAGAGTTCTTGTCGGGCCACTTCTTTCCTTAATTGAAGATGGCTTTCGGGGACCCGCGGACCGGAAAATAGTCTCCGGTGTCCTTTCCGTATGCAAAATATATTAATCATTGGGCACCTGTCCTCTATCAAAGGCGCCAAGGTAGTAATACCCCTCTAGTAGTCATGGAGCCGTGGCCTCCCCGTAGCGTTCGTCAACAATCGTTCCTCTACTGAAAACAATCTTCGGTGTCGTCCTTCCTTTACCAAAAAATCTTTGGAGGCACCTCTCCTTTATTCAAAGAAGCTGTCTGTCGAATGATGTCGAATGTTTTGATTACCTTTACTAAAACAGCTTTCGAGGGGTGCTTCTTCGACTAAAATTCAATCTTTGGGGGTCCTTCCCTTACTAAACATAACCTTTGGGTGCCGTTCCTTTACTAAAAATGGTCTCAAACGAACCAGGAGCCATACCTCGAGCGAGTGCAGGTTCACGACTGTGACGGACCTGTCCTTGACCGCTGCCAAGAGAGGGCGGAGGAAGCCCGGGCTGGCAGGCTGGCCGCCACTGCACCACCCCGGTAGGGTGGAGCAGGTCCTCCTCGTACATGACGAGGATCTGGGAGCATGTCCCTCCAAGGCAAAGCTCCAGAAGCCAGCAACCGTTGTACAACATCCAACTGATCCCTCACATGCACACCTGAGTTGAAGCAACTCAAAACTCAAGTTCGGCTTGTTCTGACCTCGCTTTTGATTCATGATGTGGTTTCAATGAATGTTTTCTCTAACAATAGGATGTGGTTGTATGACTGCTGATTTTCCGGTGTCCTACAAATTGCAACAGCCTACATATTTCAACTCTCATCTGACAACAGCGTGACTTTTGGCGAGTCAGCGTGCTGGCCACAGACTTCAACAATGGTAGGCCAGTGCGTTGGCTACCAGGCTTCAACAATGGTAGCCAGGCAACATACATGGAAACCAAGTATCCGGGCTCCAATCCAGAACAAAACGCGTGGAAACCCAGCGTGCTGGCCACCAAGCAACACACATGGTACACCAGCTCGCTGGCAAATAGCAGCAGCATACATGGCAAGCCAGTGTCCTGCCTACCAAGCTGCAAGAACACAAACGGCAAGCCAGCGTGCTGGCTACCATTGCAGCTGTGCTTACTACTTGTGGCAAAGCCAGTCAGTCCTGGCTGCAAAGATGGAACGCGACACTGGTCAGCCAGCGCGCTGGCTTCCAGTCAGCACGGCATGCCAGAGTGCTGGGCGCCAACTATGGTAAACAAGCTTGCTTGCTACCACAACATACATTCATAGCAGGATGCTGGCCACCAGCTCCAGGCCTCTCTGAAACAGTCTGAAAATGTCTGAGGCAAAGTAACAAAATTTTGCTTGGCTTCAAGAAATACAACTGTTCACCTGGCATTGAACATCCACGGTTGTATGTCCTGTCGTCATCAGTCACACACGCCGTTCTTCCCCTGGTGAGGCCATGGTTACTATCATGCATTGTCGTTTTGTATTCTGGAGACAAAAGTCAAACCTGCATGCTGCCAGATTCACAATGATTGAACATGTCCTATTGCTTCGTTGTGATGTGATTGTCATATCAGTCTGTGCCAAGCGCCCCGCAAAGATGATGCTTAATGAGAAAGGACACCCAGTAAAGGAAGGATACCCGAAGACCATTACAGTAGAAGGAAGATGCCCCCTGGCCGCCTGCTCACGCCACACGCCAACCTAGGTACAAAAAGGTAAGGAGGACGCAAGTGCAGCAATCCCACCATCTGCATGGGCGCTTGTACTCCGACATCTCCAGCGACGCAAACTGCGATCCCCAAGGAGAGGTCCCCAACGATAGATCCAGGCGCGAAGCCGGCGAAGCCGTCAGAGTAAAGACAAAAGTGAGAAGCGAGTATGTTTCAACATTGCTTGTCCAACACGGTGCACCACACACACACACACACAAAATCTGCGCGAAACACTTTGCAAAGAGATCCCTGAAACCATGATGCCTGATACCAAGGGAAGTTCTGGGTCTTGCGAGATCTTGGGCAGTCATCTCATAAACCTACAGGTGAGGGGCAAAGACACCATTTGCTCATCAAACCACTGGGCGACAGCCATGGAAACCAAATGGCAAGGCCAGCATGCTGGCTGCACGATTTCCGTCGGTGGCTCATCCGCCCCAACGAAAATTCCCATTTCACTCCATTTGAGCATCCAACACGCACGATCTCCGCAGAGGGTCACGTTCCGACACCCTGTCAGGGCGCTGGCTAACAAAGAGTAGATATAGAATGATTTAGAGACCTAAAATGCCGAGATACGTCACGCACGCGTATGTTAGCATATATTTTATATACACCGCTTCGCGGCCGAAGCCGCCTGCACAGATCGCAACCTGTGCTCTCGGAGCCGGGGAAAGAAATGCGGCGCGCAGCTCCGCATATGCGATTGTTCCCCCCAAACCCACATGCTCAATACCATTCACCTCATCCAGTCGGACTGGGCACACGACCGAACACATCCACGATATCAATCGTACAGTGTCCCGCGGTTTGCCTAAACGTTTGCAATTTCTGCGATGTCTATAACGCAGTCTCCCCCGGCCGGCATAACCGGCATCGCATATCCATAGTGCAGCGCCCTTGGCTTGCCGAGACGTCTGCGATGTCAATAATGCGATCTGTACCGACCGGCATGACCGGCATCGCCAACGTCTGGTCCAATTTTGGTCAATTTTCAAAAAACATTGAAAAGCACAGCATTTCTAGGAGAAAAATGCGCCCCCCCCCCAAGCTAAAGCTTAGGATTTATCTAGCCGGATTCCTTGCGATTTACACGAGCCTACACAACGCCCTCGGCACCTCCGGCGCGGGCGGATTTTACACATGTGTTCCCTGATACAAGAACCCAGCTAAAGTTACAATAAAGATTTTGCAGGTGTGAGACCCCAGTACCAAAACAATGCTACTGCGCTACCCAAACTTTGTATGACCACCTCCGTAGCAACTCTAACAAACCACACTTGCAAGCTACGGCCGTACTCATGGCACACCTACAAATTGCAAACATATAAGTAGCCTCAAATGTAGCAGCTCAAATCCCTGTCGCGCACCTACAAATTACAGATATATAAATCTCAAATGTAGTAGCGCAGATCTTGTGGCATACCTACAGATAAGTCTCAAATATTCTCAACCGTAATAACGCAGATCTGTACCGCAAGCCCTTTCTACAAAAGCATCCTTCGCAACCCTCCCGGGAAAAAAGGTTTCTCCCTGTCGCTGGATGCATGACTCAACGTTCCAATTTCCGATGTTTTTACCATGTCTTACCTTTTCACCGCTCTTTCGCAGCCAGGTGACCTGTGTCCCTTGGGTTTTTACAACATCTCCGACCTGGAAACCTGCCGTTTGGGCGCAAGAACCCTGCGGAAGCGCTTCGCGCCTCGGTACGAACGGATCGATATCCCCGTGTTCTTTGGAGATCGGGAGATCGGCCAGCGGGGAGTGAAGGATGTGGAGAAGATGGACCATTCATTTTTGGCATGTTTTTAAGCTGGTTCAATTCCGGAACAACATGCGTGTTTGATCGTTTTGAGCCATTTCTCCGTTCCTTCACCAGGAAGACCAGAGGATATATTCCTTATGTCGAACCAACGCTTAAGGTGTGGTCCACGCCAACGGTGCCCTCCCCCAGTTTGGGCTCTGCAGCCAAGCCCCGAAACAGCAATTAAGCCCGCGCCAACGCGTCGGATGATGGGTTAGACAATCCATTTGATATAGCTTGGGTGAAGGGGCGTTGACACCTGTGGTGATCATGGTCCGCTTCCCATTCCAAGCCCACACCAAGCTAGATGCATCGCCCAGTCCGAGCCCGCACCCTCTACTTCCAGATGATCTTGTTGTTTCTGCACAGTGATGGCATTCAGACACTTGCGCACGCAGGTGTTGTTTCAAGTCTTAGACAGCTTTTGGGCGTGCTTAGTGTTTCGTCTCATGACCGGACAACTTGAGCGGCGTTCATATCCCACGCAGCTGCCCTCTTGTCTCACAACAGAGACCTCCCTCAACAAGAACATGTGGATACAACACCAGTGGTTCCCTTCGTGCGTTCCCACTCTCAGACAGACCTCACGTGGATTCCTGTGGAGGCAGGTGCAGTTGATGCTGGACATGAGCCTTCTGGCTGCTTACACCGACTCGCTGACAATGACGTCCTCTTCAACCGGGCCTTCTCGCGCAAGCGCAACCGGCAGCGACAGCTGATTTGTGCCGACCGAATTCCAAAGTTGGTGGAGGCGAGGGTTGATGCGTCATGGACATATCACACTCCCCTGATTGGTCATTGTATACAAATGTATGCTTAAAAACTGGACCTGAGAATTGTGAGTGGTTCTTCCTCTACCTACTGCAAGCCATTGATCTTGAAAAACGACTTCGACTTTTAGCAGCTGGCCGCCGAGGTCGGGTCGCAGCCCGCTGTGGAGGTCGAGTCGCAGCCCGCTTCATCGGTCGCAGCCCCTGTCCCTTCGTCCATTGGCAATTTGAGCATCACCGGTCGAGTCTGCCCTGAAGGAAGCTTTGCGATCCAGACGCCTCACCGATGTGAGACGGCTGCCAAGGTGCTGTCCAAGAAGTACATTGGCATTATGATGCCCGCCCTGATGTTGGAAGAGTTTGTCTCAAACGGAACCAACTCACCCAAAAAAGAAGAACATCTTCATGAATTCCTTCCCCCATTCAGGCATGACGATATTCTTTGGAGATGGTGATCATTGATGATCTGTCAGAAAAAACATCCATAAGAAGGCCCAGGTCTATTTACATCTTTCAAGGGTGTTTTAATCAGCCTACTTCAATCAGCAACCCCGTCTTCATGACCCCCTGGTTCAGCCTCTTCGTACTCACGCCGGACGTCCGGAGCACGGACCAAACGCTTTTCGCGCTTGCTGTAGGAAGTCTTTGGGTGAGCCTCATGGCTGCCTCCACCGTGTGGGTGACCAAGACGTGATGTTCAATCGCTTGAGAACTCCTCAGCAGAGTGATCAACGGCAGTTGGTTTGTAGCACCGAGCCATGGATTTGCAGCGAAGAACCGGGTTTCCTTTCTCGTTGGGGGACAGGAATCCACCTGGTAATTGTGAAGGGCTTGACTCGTAGTTCAGTGAAGGGTTTTTCAAAACGGTAATCATCCGCTGTCACAAAGCAGGAAGGGTTCAACATGTGATGTTTCTCTATGGTTCTGCATATACGCCTAGTGACCTAGTACGAGGGGTAGCGATACATCATTGATTTTGCACTCCACCACCACTTCAAACAATGTATATATATATATTGATGGATGTTTCCTTTTGACATGGGAGTGATTGAGGTAGGCTGAATGGTATGATTTTGGAGGGGTGATTATGTAACTGCTACTGCTAAACATGATCAGGATGTAGAGCAAGTCTTGGCGGCATGACCAGTCATCCAGGGTGCCCGACGTCCACCCTGAAATGGGAGGATGTGATAGGATGTGACCATCATCCTGGTTTTATTAAGTCATTATATATAAGTGGTTTATGTTGTTTTCCCTACCATACAAATCCCCAAACCAGGTGATTTTCCAGCTTCCTGGGAGCCGCATGTTTCCAGTTTGTCATCCGCTAGGAGAAGGATCCGGAGATGATCCGAGCGAAGAAGCTCTCACGAAGTGATGCTTTGCAATTGAAGCTCTACTGCTTCGCCTGGACTGTGAGATCTGAGCGCGAAGAGCTACTCTTGCCCTATGCCAGGTGGGGCAGCCCAGTGGTGCCAGTGCAGAAGTTCTGCCCTAACAGGCCCTGACAGTTCAGGGTGCGTTGTGTGCAATTCGGCAAGTGGATTCCCATTTGCATCACTTGAAAGGACAAAAATGTTCGGTAAGGATTGCTTCACAGCTGGAGGAACCACGATGGAGGAACCCCGGAAGAGGTGGAGTAGCCTTTGACGCAAAAAGACGCACCATCAGCTGCTTTGTGAAGAGTTCTAAGAGATCAGATCAAAGAGAAGGGGGCGAGTTTCAGCTACCAGACCCCAACGCACCGGAAGCGAAGTGAGGGTTTCCATCTGGAAGTTCCCACCATGCTATGTTTGATAGGTCTTGTCATAGGTCCAGTCACGGAAGACTCTGACCCAAACCGCTACCAAGGGCCTCATTGGTCGGATCTCGACCCCGAATGTCCTTGCCACAGAGTTCATTAGCCACATCAGCTGTTTGACCAGAAATTCCAAGCCACAGAGAGAGTTAAAAAGAGGTTAGTCATGTGCCCATGTGATGTTTGGTTGTCCTTCCTTTTTTTTGAGCTCACAAGGAAGGTGGCATGGGAGTGATTTGTTTGCGGAGTCTTTTGCCGATGTTGGAAGAGCAGAGTGCCAGCGGCATGAACCAATCATAAGGTCATCTTTCAGTAATCCCAATCTACTGGTAGATCCGAATAGCAGCTGTCCCCCCAAAAAACCTGGTTCATTCCAGACCATGTCATCGAAGTTCACCACCCAAGACCCACCTCTGCCGAGGTCTCTCTTCCAAGGCTGCGACGGTCACGGTTTCTTCACCGACCGCGAGGCCTCTGTGACGCCCGAGGAGCGCGACGACTTCGTGCAGGTGGACTTGCCTCCCACGCAGCAGAATCGTTCGGAGAAGCGGCGCGGCAGCACCAGCGGGCCGGAATCGTCCGAATCGTGGGGTGATGTGGGAACGGCTGGGTGTGGGAACAGCAGGGGGGTGAGGTTGGGGGATGTTCTCCGGGGTCATTCTCCGGGGTTGTTATGTGTTTTTTGTTGATGTTGGGGGAGAGTGTTGGAGAAACTGGATTTGGCTGATGCTTTTTCCAGAAGCCTGTCCCAGCGATTCGCGCGCAACAAAGGTCCGTAGCGTACTTCATCCAGAAGGATTCGTGCTTGAATGTGTTTGATATTGTTTGATGGTTGGTTGTTATCAATAATCTGCAGTTCCGAAAAAGTCCGGTACTGATCGTCCTCAGGTTCTTTCCGTTGAAGCTCCATTTCTTCTTCCAAAAAGCATAGTTTGGTTTTCCATGTTCATGAGGTTCTGGCTCTTGTTGAAGAATATGGTGGGTCTACTTCCTGCGTGGAAGTACTTGTTGGACATGAACGTCACCAGTGGCATGGACTGGGTTGTGAACCTGGAGTTGGATCACTTCTTCGTCGCCAATTTGTTGCGGCAGACCATTGGAGTGCCTTGAAGTCATCTGTTTTTCTCGTCTCGTACCCAAAAGGAAGCTGAACGATGCTTGGGGGTTTTCAGCCAAGTTTGAAGCCATCTGATAGGAGCTTCCATGTTTTGCGTTTAGTCGAAAAGAGTCAGAGTAATGAAAGGATTTTGAATATATGGTGGATCCTACCTACGATGGATCCAGTGGGAAGGTACCCTAAAAGTGAGTATATGATAGACATGCCGGCGATGCTTAGGGGAGCTGGTCCGGGTCTTTGGCTGAGTTGGGAACTTTTGCTTTGTCCACTCTTGCCCTTTTTCAGGTTCCACAATTCTTCTCGCACCACTCTCACTCTCTACTGAAAATGGATGACCATGGACAAAGGGATGATTTAAGGATGGTTAGCTTCTTTCAGGGCCAATTTAGGGGTCACTTTTGGTTTTTCCATACGTTTCGGCTCATCGGCCACTTCCACACCAGTCCAGCAGAACTCGCAGTCGATGTGCTCGGTCGCCCGGCACGGGCACGGGCGCTGCAGCTTCCACGGGACTGGTGTCTTGGGCAATGACGCGTCCCACCGCAGAACCTCTCAGTGCTTGACTGGCTTTGTTGCCAGTTGCCACCGCAGAAGCACTCAGTGCTTGGCTGGTTTTGTTGCCAGTTCCCATGGCGGAAGCACTCAGTGGTTGACTGGTCTTGTTGCCAGTTCCCACCGATTGGTTCGCTGCTCATCTTAAGGACTACATCAACCTCATGATTCAAGATGGACTACCTCATCAAAACCCATGGGAGGACCCAGTGATGCTCATTTTCGGCAACGTTTTTGCCTTCAATGCTGCACTCGTGGCCAGCATGAAGCGTGAATGGCAGACGGTTGGTCAAGTGCCTCGGAGATCAGATGCGGTGTTGATGAAAGAAGCCTGATCGAGATTATGAAGAGACCCTATTTATGCAGTAGATGTTATAGAGTTCTCATGGGTCTGCTGAGTCTGCTGAGGTTTGTAGTTATTGTAGACTTTATATAGAAGAATGGGCGTTTTACAAATCCTGTGCTTTCGTCGCCATCCCTAGCAGTTAGTCTAGCTATTCCGGATCTTCTATCGTTCTATGTGGGGCCCGAGTTTTCGGAGCTCGATGCCTTGTGGTGTCAACAGCAAGCACTCCATATAATTCCCAGCCTTCAAAGACCATGTTCAAAATGGGAACGACCTGGTTTTGTAGTGCAAAATCCTTAGTAAAACAGTGGTTGTTCGGGATTCAGACCTAACAATGTTGGTTTGAATCCGCTAGGAATGTTCTGCGCGAGAAGCTTGGTTGACCAGACCTCTGGCGGAGGTGATGGGGCAGGTGAGGTTCCCCGATGAACATGTGCTGTGTTGCCAAGGTGATTTGCGCCACTTCCTTCTCTGGAAAGAACAGTGTATCCAAGAATGAACGCCCAATAACATCAGAGTTTACCAAGACACAATCTATAACAAAGACCAATGGAAAGTGCCGCAAAAGATCCGAATCATGCATTCTCTTCCTTCCGGCTTCGGCGCCCGTGACTTTCTCAAGCGAAAGCCGCCCCGCGGGGCGAGGGAGAAGCGCAAGCCGCGCCCGCTGAGGTCATCTCTGACCGTGGCTCCTTAGGCCTTGGCTGCCCGGTGATCTCGGGGGCGCGTGCACATGCTGAAGGGCACTGCGAGCAGGACATGGTCTACGCCGCTGGGCGGAGGGTGGAGGGAGGTGAGGATAGCAGGAGGTAGCGGGGTGCTGGAGAGTGCGGAGGAGGCGTGACCTCTTTGGAGAAGGCATGCTGGATAGTAGTGGATGGTCGGGAGTTTTCCCACAGCTCTAAGCATCAACAGCAGGAGCAAGATGGGGGAAGTCCATGTGATTGGATGATTGCATGGATATTCATGTTCAACAAGACGCATGGCCCCCAACTGATTTAAATCTACCTCACAGGTCGAGCCACTATAAGCCACTCATCTTTCAATGACAACCCCAAAATCCATGACGCTTTGAAAAAGGCCCCAAGTGTGGCCACCACTCACCCGAACATCCCGCCGTCCGCCACCGCCGTGCGGCGGTCCCGAACGTCGTTCCTCGCCTTCACCGGGTGTCCTTTCGAACTCACCAGTCCTGGTCCCGCCTCGGTCGGCTCCAGCCCTCCGCGGTGCGGACACGGAACAGAGCCGCGGTCCCACCGGGGCCCGGCGTGCGGACGACCTGGGTGCCGGAAACACGGTCGTGGTTCACGGGGTGGTTCTTTAGCCAGACCACCACCCCATGGGACCGCCGAGTTGGACGGAAACGGCCGAGAAACGGCCGAAGTTGACGGGGGGTTGAGGGGGCGGCATGGAGCGGAGACGTGATGAGGAACACCTGCAAGACGTGATGCCCTTGGCCATCGTGGGAGCCAACGGCTGTGGGAATCTCGCCGTCTCCGTGCCTCGGTGGACGGCCCAGGTGGACGGTACGGCCGAAGTGGCGCGGAGAAGCGGTCTGGGAATGTCCAAGCTGGTCCTGAAGAAGGGGGTAGGGATTGTGTTAGATTGTTTTGGTCATACATGTCCAATTCTCAGTGTCGGTCATACTTGCCAAAAGTTATGTTGTGTTGTTTTGGTCATTGAACGCAGAACGCATCAATGGAATCTCCCGCGAGCCAGGAAACGAAGAAAGAGGGACTGCTCAAAACTGTTTCGTTCTTTTCTGCTTGTTTTCTTCCCTTATCTTCCCTATTAGGTTGGAGGGAGGCCATTGCCATCGCTATTAGGTTGGAGGCCATCGCTATGATTGTTCCCTGTCCAGGACAGCTTGATTCCTTTTCCCTTGGGCTGCTGGCAAGACTTCCCCTACGGCGACGACGAGGCGGCACGTCTGCGGGCCTTGAACAAGTTGGTGCAGATCTGGAAGTTCAGCGACCAGGAGGCGGAATCCTACTGTACCTCGGCCTGGAAGTGGGTGAAGAGCAGAGCGCTTTCAGCGCCATGCTGCGCAGGAGCGAGTTCCGATTCTTCGGAGGGTTTAGGGGGGGGCGATCGACTGAAAGCAGTGATGAAAGTGAATGCTTGGCTCATTTTTGATATGTTGGCTGGTTTCGAAGGGAGTTGCGGGGGCGGTTCATGTCCATCTCCAAAGACGATGGATACGATGGTCAGATAGGACTTGCAAGTTTGTGAAAAGGGGTGCATCGACAGTCACAGTCGATGTCACGACGGTACTTCGTCTTTAGGTATTTCGAAGAAAGAAGCATCCGAGTCTGCTAGGCCGCTAGGCGCCAAAAAGAAGGATCAAAACCAGAGATCTCGCGTTTCGGGGGGGTTGAAACTTCTTCCGATTTGATTTGACACTGCTGGCCAATGGGCATTGGATATGAAACAGGACACCTTAGATAGAGGAAACAAGTCAGAGGTTGCTTGAAGGGATGTGTTGTCAAAACCAAAGCCTTCAACCTCCGTTGACCACGATTTTGATGGCAACTGACAGTCGACCGCGCGTTGCAGCTTCAATCAGCTACCCAGCTACCAGTGTCCATCACCTGCCACCTTTGAAGGGCTTTCGGGCTGCTTGCCGGAACAGGGTGAAGCAGCGTCACCGGTGGTCTCGTCCGTTGGAACTGGGGCGCCAACCCCTCCGGTGATGCTTCGGTCTGGACCGATGGAGTTCGGTGGACGACTGGGACCGACTCTTGGGACCGAGTCGGACCGCGAACCCGGACCGCGTGGAGCGCAGGTCCGGTCGGGTGCCAGGAGATGTCTTGGAATGGAATAGAATCCCTGTGCACTTGGTGACTAGAATGGAAATCATACGTCATACACCCCCTAAAAAAGGCTCCTGGCCTACCGCAAGAGAAGATGGTTATGGTGGCTGCCAGGTCTAACCACCTTCTGGTTGGAGTGTTTTCGGGATTTCTCCATCCTGAGCGGCTTTGAAATCTAGTTGCTGCGATGGGCAGAGGTTCGCTCATAGGAGCTGGCACCATGGGCATTCCATTAACATCCCAGCCTATGCGACCTCGAGCCTTCAATCGAAGCAGCGTCGTCTGCCCCATCCACCCCTCCCACCCTTGGCTGGGAGGCTCCGAACACGGCGAGGGCGAGGAAGCAAGCTGTCCCAAGCTGGTGAGGTCGAGGTTTGTGCCGATCATCCACAACGTGATTCTCGGATCGAAGGTGCCCCATCCACCCGGCCGCTGATTGACTGACTGTGGAGCACCAAAGATCATCAAAAAGCCGCCAAGTTCTTGGGGTGTGGAACTGAAAAGGCGGGTTTTCAATAAAAGGTATACTTAATAACCATGTATGGAGGAGAAGAAGCATATGAAAGCGGGTATGAGACAGATCCGTTCGGATGGCCGATCTGGAGCCTGAAGCGAAAGCCGATCCTTGGATCGTTTTCGACCAACTGGTGGTCCAGCTCCCTCATCCGTTGCACCACAAAGCGAAGCGAACCACTCATCCGTTGCAACGGTGTTTTTGATTACTGTAGGTGTCAAAATCCGCATGTTCACGTACAACGCATGGTTTCCTTCATGTTTGTAGGGTGGTGTTCTTTATTGGGTTTGTTGTTTCTTGATATGCGAAGAGTGTTTATTCTTATGTGGATAGACGGGCAGTTGTGGTTTTGTGGGCAAGGGTTTCGTTTTTGCGGCGGGTGCTTCTTGAATGCTCGTGTTTGTTCACGGTTCTTGTTGTATGCTTTCTCGGTTTCTCTATGCTTCTCTCAAGACTCTCATAGTTTCATACCAAGGGTTCTTTGATGTTCGTTTTGTATGGAGGATTTCTCCCCGCTGGTAGTTTCTGGGATCCGCACGACCGCAGACCGGGACAGACCCCGCAGCCGAGGAAGACCCCGCAGCTGCACGCAGCGGCGCAGCAGCTGCTCCCACTCGCGGAGTGGCATGTGAGTCGAGTCGAAGAGACAAAAGACACGCAGAACACATGGCGCACCGTCCGGTTGGCAGGGTCACCTGCCGGTGGGCCAAGCCCGTAGGGAGGTGCAAAAAGATGCAAGATGTCAGACTGTTTTGGGGCCTCAAAATGGATGGAAAGAGGAATTAGTTGTAGCTGTAGAGAATATGTTTCTGCACAGGATAGGTGTCCCTGCAATTTGCGGTGAGTTGGGGATGGACGTGGAAACTCACTAGAAAGGTGTTGGGAGCAACAACTGGTTTTGACCATCACATGCATGGGGCTATGAGGCTTGGCAGAAGCTATTTAGTCGATACAGCAGTGGCGCCAAATTTGCGAGCCGCCAGGTCTTGTCGTTGTTGGAATCCCTTTACGGCATGTGTTGGGGTATGTTCGTTCGCCGTGTTTGCTAACCAGGCTATTTGTTTTAGGTGGCGGGTGGGGGGTTGTCACAAATGTGGCTGTGGTGTTTGATTTTCTCCATCAACTATAGACCATACATGACCATACCAACCTCAGCAGGAGGTTGGAGGCCATCGCTATTAATTAGGTTGGAGGCCATCGCTACAAGCTACTGTACTTAAGCTACTAGGTTCGAGCCGTTGCTAGTAGGTTGTCGTTAATTTATTTTAATTTATTTTATAATCATTCACACGAATCGATAACAGGCCACAACTGGTGAACGCCCGACAGTCGGAACGTGCAAGACAACCAACCAAAGGGCTGACCGCTCCTGCAGGGAGCCCTTGTTCTGAAGCCAATGTGTCTCTTATATTCGCTCTTGGAGCCGAATGAGAATTTACACTATATACAGGTCATTGGCTTCAGTGCGTGTGTTCTTTTCCGCTCGTCCCCCCGCCCCCACCCCTGCCGAGCCGTGACGAACCCGCCGATCCTCTTCACCACAGCAGGTTCCACCGCGGCCGAAATGGCCCGCTGTGACTGTGAAGAGGCGCGCTGGGGACGACGACGTTCGCTGGGGACGTGTTTGACGTGAGGCCCGGGGGGGGTTTTGGGGGACCGGACACGTTTTGGGAAGGAAAGGATTGAAATGGGCGAGGCTGGAGTGTTCTGGTCGAGCGCGAGGCCAGTCTGAGCATCCCGAAGAGGGGTCCCTCCGACTCCTGGTGACAGGGAAGGTCATTGATTCATTGAAAGCCAATGGATTGGGAGATGCAAGGCTTACTTTTTGCGAATCTTTTTCAAACCTTCTTCATCCGTGTGGTGCTCGAAAGGCCTGGGATGGTTCTACAAAGCAGTTTTGAACCTTGAGGGCTTCTGACGCCAACGGGTGCCTTTGGTGCTGATGTTGCGCGAAGTTCGAGCGCCAAAGGCCGAAAGACCTTGTGAAGCAACAGATCAAACCTATCACAATGTCTCCAGTGAAAAGGATCTGTACCATCTCCTGACGTCCTGGAATTACCATGTTGAGCCCAACAACCAGTTGAGGCCAAAGCATCCAAAAAACCTGTTGAATCTTGAGATCACTGGGCCGAACCAGCGTGCCGCTGGCGTGTCGCGAGCGCTCGCGCGCGACCCACCGCGAGCGGAGGCCTTGAGACCCGTGGAGGTCAGTGCACTCCTCAGATCGATGGGTCTGAGGTTTGGATGTTGGGGCAAACCGGATGGATGGATCGTTTTAGAAGTCAAACTGATTTTTTTTTGGCCCTGAAATCATTTGGGTGTTCGGTGTTCCCTTTTTGGAGTATTTTGGTGCCTTTCAACTTTAAGAGCTCACGTTTTTGATGACCTCCAGAGGGTCATGGGAAATGTGTTCTGTCACTGAGGTTCCTGGAAGCAGGAGCTGAAGCACAATGCCCGGAACCTCAGGTCTGACTGTCGCTGGACTGTCTCTGAACGGGTCAAACTGGGCTTGGAGAGCAAAACGAGGTATCAAGCTACTTGCTCCAAGCGCTGGGCTTGGAGTTGTGGCTCAGAATGGTCAAACGGTGTTGCCTCAAGCCACAAATTTGTCGTTTCGATTGTCTCAAGAGACTTACAACTCCTCACTAAACAGAAGAAGCCCCCAAACCCTGAAAGGTTGGCGGGCCTCATGCTGTGATGTTGGTCCCCTTCAGCCCCCGGTCTTGCTGACCAGGTCACCGCGTCCCCATTGCCTCTCACCCTGAAGGAATCGAAGCCAAGTTGGTCACTCCAAACAGGTGGTGCATGATTTTGTTGAGACTGGATCCAGCTGAGAATCTCTATACCAGGACCTTCCAAGAGGTGGTTTTTGGACACCTTAAGCTCTAAGAGGCTATTGATAGACACCTCTTGGAAGGTCCTGGTATATAATATATGATCGTGCGGAAACTTCTTTCTCAACTTGTTAGGAGGCCGTGCTGGAGGTGAGGTGTTTATCCGCTCCCTGGCACGTGGACAATGTCGAAATGCTAAGTATGCTGTTTATCCTTGTTTGCACTGTTGACATCATGTGTATTCTCTTTTAAGTCGTGGGTTCAATGTTCTGCTGTGGCGCATTCCCCAAAAGCTACCAACGGAGTCGGGAAGAAGGTGTTTGCGCTCGAAATGTCCACACCCAGAAGGGCGCTCACTGCCCGCCCCTGTGGAAGTTGGGGCGCTTACCTTCTTGCTTCCCATCCGTCGCGCACAGCTCGGGCGTGTCGCGCTCAGGTGCTCCACGCTCCAACACAGCTCTGGACCCGGCTCGAGGACCATCGTGATGAGGCACCCGGACCGTTCACGGAGCTCACGGGTTTTGGAAGTCGAGCCGTGATGAGGTCATAGATTGATATGTGTTGTTCCTCAGGTTGATATTTGGGTCCCAATGGCATTTAAAAATATGTCAAGTGTTGAGAACTATTGACATAGTTTTCCTCCAGTGTTCTTATTACATGGCTCCTGAACCTGTTGTTAAGGTGCTCTGGGCATCTCTGGGCAGATGGATGAAGACACAAACAAACCAATTAGTTGTAAGACAAATTGGTTGACAGAGGTTTGAGTGCGAAGGGAAAGCCTATTTCCAATTCTCACACGATGATCAGCTAGCCATTTTCTCGGGCTAGCGGCTTATCTATCAATGCCAAAAGGAATCTTTGGTTGCGAAAGTGTTGCTGTCGCGGTCGTGTGTTTTTCCACTGAGTGTCAAGCCTATGAATGATCTTGTTGGCCCTTCTGAAAATGTGTGTGGCGGATGCTTGGCCTGGACATCCTGAAGAATTTTCGGAAATGAAATTGAAACCCGCAAAGGTGCTGGGAGGCGTTATTGTGTTGGCACGAATTCATCGCTAGCTGTATCTAGGGGGGTGCCTTTTTCGAGAATGCATATCCTGCATCACGAGGTGTGTTTGGGGGAGCAGAAAACGTTGTGCTTTACTGTATGTCTCATTATTGTATCGTTTGCATCACCAGGTCCATGAAAGTAAGGCAAACAACAGCCTATGTCATCCTATGTATCTCTCAGTGTTGTATCATATGCATCAGTTGGTGGATATGAGTGTCAGTGTATTGAACCACAGTTGGTTTATTAAGTTTATGGTTGAACCACGGTGTTATGTACATAAACCACTGTTGCATCAGTTGCATATGTTTCGACCTCTCTATGTTTCGACCCCTCGAAGTTGTAGATGGGGTCTAAGGAGTCTAATCCATTTGGCTCTAAAAAACTATACAAGTTCAACGGGGTCCAAACAAAATATCCCACCATGTTTGCAGAGCCAGTAAGTATAAGACATAGTAAGTATCATAATCGATTTGTAAGAGCCAATGGTGCGGGCGGTTGTCGTCGCGAATCGCGAAGCGACCCAAATAGATTTGTGGGGATCCTAGAGGCATAATTGCCCCCAATCTTTTATTGAACTCATTTGGAAAGGCCTGCGAACAAGTCGCGTAAGTGGATGTAGTTCTACTCTCGTGCCAAGCTTGTGTTCTCACACTAGCGGGCTTGGGGTCAAAGCCTTGGAACCAGCAGGACCTGGCAGCAATAAAGGATGCCCATGCAGTAATGGCAATCTACACTCTTCAGTACTCTTAAACACCTAGCGACCGCAAGGCCTGGCGACCGCACTCGCCCCACCCCACCGCCTTCCCAGCGTGGTGCCAGGCCTGCCTGGCCGTGGTTCGTTTCCGCCCAACCGCTGCAGGTCCTATTTGTGGTCTTCTCGCCCTGCGGCACGCGGTTAGCCAGCTGCTCCAGGGACCTGCAGACGGCCGGGGTTCCCGGTCAGCTGAAAGCGGGCGAGCGGAGTTCTCGGTCAGAAAGCGGGCAGGTGATGTGCAGAAGGAGGAAACTGCTGAGGTGTGTTTCAGCAAGATGAAGCTCTGTTGGTCCCAGCCACTGGTTCTCAAGAGGTTTCTGTGGCTTTTCGCAGCTGCTGGTGCCTGCCACCTCTTGAGGCATTCTCTCAAAACATGCCTCTGGTGGTTTGGGAGGGTTGCAGTCACTTACGGCACGGAGAGAGCATCAGGTCCAACGATGCTTGATGCGAGGTCCGGCGCTGCGGAAGACGAAGGAAAACGAGAACCCATCGACCTCGGGCGGAACCGGAGGTCGACGCACCCGACGTCGGCCCCCCAAGTGATCACTTGGAAGGAAAGAACACCTGGCTGCCCGACGCCGCGGAAGCGGCCCTACCGGCTGTTTGGGCCGAAAACAGCAGGATCAGCAGGTCCAGCACATCCCACGGCGGCTTTTCATGCAGTTGAGCTTGCATCTATGCTAAATCATAATCCATGTCCGGTGAGTTTACCCAACTCCGTACCGTCTCGGGCACCAAAGAATTTGTATCGGATTATCGGTCTGGTTGACGTCGCGTATGTTGTTTTGGGTGGCCAATCAACCCGAAATTCTGCCCAAAATCGTCTAAACATTTTCTCCCCAGCTGTGCCAGCTGTCACCGTGCCTTCGTCGCGCGGACGACGTCACGCGGACGACGCGGCGCTGGCAGATGGTCTTCAAAGTAAGCTATCGCCTCGCAGAGCCCGAGCCCTCTGAAGGCGGTCGGTTTGGGTCGTGGAAAAGGGCGGGATGAAAACGAGTCACGGGATGAAAAGGGGTCGCTTTGCGAAGCATGGTTTTCTTTCGTTCTGGCAACGGAAAGGGTCATTCGGGGGGGGGGCAAAAGGGATAAT